ATGAATATAGGGGGAAAAAAACAGACAATCTGATGTCTTGTTCTTTGTGGGTGACCCTGCACACTGTACCTCAGAAGAAGGTAAGATAAAAGGACGGCGTTTTAACCTGTATAAATTTCCTTACATGAGAAAATTTCCAAAATGTACAATTTTACAAGAGGCAACTACCAAAATGTACAAAATTCCCGATGTGGCAACTAACAAATGTACAATTCTCATATAAAGGAAGCTTCCCTTTACAATTTCACAAAAGGCAACTTCCAACAAGTAAAATATTCCAGTTTACAACTTCCAATATAGACATTTAAAAAAACTGGAATCTTCGTAAATATACAATTTCACAAGGACAACATTCAAAATTTACAATTTCACAAGAGACAACTTTCAAAATTTACAATTTAAAAAGAGGTATTTTCCAAAATTTACAATTTCACAAGAGGTATTTTCCAAAATTTACAATTTCACAAGAGGTATTTTCCAAAATTTACAATTTCACAAGAGGTATTTTCCAAAATTTACAATTTCACAAGAGGTATTTTCCAAAATTTACAATTTCACAAGAGGTATTTTCCAAAATTTACAATTTCACAAGAGGTATTTTCCAAAATTTACAATTTCACAAGAGGTATTTTCCAAAATTTACAATTTCACAAGAGGTATTTTCCAAAATTTACAATTTCACAAGAGGTATTTTCCAAAATTTACAATTTCACAAGANTCTATCAATTAAAATTCTCCACAGACCGCAGCAAAAGATCTGTTGAATTCAACAAAAGGGGAATTTTTCACTAAAATCCAAAAATTTTAAACGGTTTTGAAAACTATTTTATTCATAGAAAAACAAGTTTATGAGAATTGAAAAATACATTTAACTTTAAAAGTTTAGACACTATTTTATTACTCGATCCACTTGCTAGACAGATGGAGTATCATCTAGAATTAATATCAAGCCAAGAATGAGAAGACTATTTTTTATTACACACACTAAAAATCATAAACATTTTTTTTGGTTCATCTCAATTCTCAATTGCTCTCCAAGAAAAGAAGTTATTATTGAAAAGATGTAAGATTTCAAGCTAGCGTGTGTGTACTGTGTATGTATTTTACTTTAATTTAATATTACTTTAGACAGTTTATCTTTTATAGATATAGATAGTAATAATTCATGATAGTCTATGTTCTACCAGTTCTTTACAGTTCTTGATATTTTTTAAAAGTTCTTTATTTCTAGTGATTTAGTGGTAGTTTTTCTTAATATGTTGTACCAGTTCTTGGTAGTTGTTTAGTTCTTTATTTCAAGTGATTTAGTGGTAGTTTTTCTTTATATGTTCTACCAGTTCTTTGCAGTTCTTGATAGTTTTTAATAGATCTTTAATTTTAGTAATATATTCATGGTAGTTTTTCTTATATGTTCTACCAGTTCTTGATAGTTTTTGATAGTTTTAATAGGTCTTTAATTCTAGTGATAGTTCATGAAAGTTTATATAATAGGTCTTTAATTCTAGTGATAGTTCATGATAGTTTGTAATAGGTATTTTTTCTAGTGATAGTGTTTCTTTGTATATTTGTAATAGGGGATTAAAGACTGTAAAAAAGGGGGGAGGGGTAGATATGTGGTGCGCGTTTTTCTTGTGATAGGTATGGGGACAGAGATAAGAGCGTTACAGAGATCTATTATCAGCTAAAATATGCGATATTTTCCACAGCATGTTCTGTTGTGTGCAAGTACTGTACACGACCAATCAGCAAACATCTGTATCGTAAAAACGTAGCATGTCGTGCCGGGTCAACTGAGGCCAACGTAGCCCACCCTGTGAAAGAAGATAAGCAGTACGTCTGTGTAGTCTGTGGATGGGGATAATGGGATCTTCCGGCGTCTATGATGCTACACTGCCCCTGTATAGTGTTTACCCCCTTTGCAATGTATTAATTACATAAACTGAACTAATATGTACGTTACAGCATTACTTTGCGCATTCCAGATGTAATATAATCCTTATATATTCAGGGCACAGTTTCACGGTGGTCATAGAATCATAGCCTACAGTTATCTATTTAAAGGGACTGCAGGAGTTATTTCAAATAACCTTTCATTGAAAAAGTGACATGTCTGATACACAACGGTACACCCTACAAGCTTTTATCAGAGGAATATATCTATAGTTTTACTTTATAAAGGAAAAAAACTTTAAANATTTTTCATGGATTATTATTTCTATTTTCCGAAAAAATTTCTTTCTTCATTACAAAACACTGTTTTTTACAATGTAAGAAAACAGGGTTGTAAATAATTTCAATTTTTTATTCCCCCCCCCAAATCAGATGTTCCATATCTTACCATGAAATGTTATAATCGCATTACTAGAAGATAACTTTTCTATAACTTAAGGAAATAATTATAATCATTTTATTTTTAGAAGTTGCGCGCCTGAAATTGATATCCTATTAACACTTCTGAGTATCCTGAGTGTTGGGAAAGTCTTGAGTGTCTTAATTTCAGTCGACGCCTGACGGTCAATTAACTCTTAAGTCTTAGTCTTTTTATTAAATTTTATCTTACTCATCTTAAAAGGGTAGGCAATGATTAAAAAATCAGTCGTCTTCTTTATAAAACTGTTAATACTTCACAATTAGATTTTTTTGCTAATTTTTAAATCTTATCAATAAAATTCAAATTGTTGTGATCGTAAACTTTATTTTTTTAAAGTTTTAATATTTATCCCTGTTGTCTGAGTGTACACTCTACTCTAGCAGTGTACACTCCGCTATTATTTTGAAATATATTTGTGAAACCAGGACCCACGTGAAATAGAGCTTAGAACAGTTTTGTTAGTATTTAAAGGTTTTACAGACTTTGTTTTTGGGTGATTCGAGGTATTTGAGATGGATTATTAATTCAGGAAATGTGTTTTGATTTTCTTTTGTTTGATCTGCTAAACATTAACTAGTTAAGGGAGCTGATTTATGTTAGTTCTAGGACTATAGTAATAATAACTTTTTAGGGTCCGTCTTAGTAATTGATTTTTGGGTCCGTCCTACAGAACGATTTTTGGACCCCCCCCCTCCTATCAATTTATACAAGACTACTAATTGTCATCAAAGTTATTATTATTTTTTTATTTTTTTTAGAGTTAGGATAAGTTAACCCATTAGTGACGAGAAGGTCAATTTTGACCGGGTAAAGTTTTTTTAAGTGCCTTTTTTCTTAAACTAAATGTTGTCCTGTCTTTTCCTGCGCTTTCCTTAGGATTTCCTGTTTTCAAAACATATTTTATATTTGACGTAACTTCAAAATTGGGTTTTTTATTTTATTTTCAATTTTAAAAAACCCAAAAAAACAAGATTTTGAATTCGGAAAAAACCCAAAAGAACACCCTGTAATTTAGTTTTGAATCTATAAAATTGTCAATTTTTTTGCTAGAAAAAATTTAAAGATATTTTTGGAATCTTCTTTTAAAGATCTAAATAACTAAAACATGAAAAGTAAAGTTTTGAAGATAATTAAATAATTATGAATTACCAAAGTTTTTTAGATTTTCATGTTTTACAGGTCACCCTGTACAAAAAAAATTCAAAAATTTAATTGAATATCATTTTTTCATGAGTACAATCAAGTTTTGTTTTGACAAGATCCTTCTAAAACAACTTCACTAATAGTTACTGGTCTCGTCACTAATGGGTTAATA